GACCCTCCCCCCTCTCATGCTCTCTCTATCTCATTCTCTCTCTCAAATAAATAAAATAAAATCTTAAAATAAAAAAAAAAATACAAAGTGCAGGGCGCCTGGGTGGCTCAGTTGGTTGAGCGACTGCCTTCGGCTCAGGTCATGATCCTGGAGTCCTGGGATCGAGTCCCGCATCGGGCTCCCTCTGACCCTCCCCCCTCTCATGTGCTCGCTCTCATTCTCTCTCTCTCAAATAAATAAATAAAATCTTTAAAAAAAATAAAATAGCACAGGGAGATGGGCTAACAAGTAAGAATCTGTTATACATTCCATTTGGCTATTTTTTGTTCATCTGTTTGCTCACTGTTGAGACTCTAAGGAGACAAGACAGTAATAAAGAGGAATGTGGAAGACCAGAGTTTGTAAGCTTCAGATCTCATAGCTACCAAAACAAATAAGTACTACAGAGCTGTAGTTGAGGCAAAAGAGAATATCCAGAGTAAAGTCCCTTTTTCTTCACCCTTACCCCTTTCTCTTTTGCATTTGGGATTTGGAAAATTGCTTTAACAATGAATTATTAGGCATGATGTTTTATTTTATTAGGTTGGAATGAAATACAGAAACCTAATCCTGAAACCTGGGGGATCTCTGGACGGCATGGACATGCTCCAGAATTTCTTGAAACGTGAGCCAAACCAGAAAGCGTTCCTAATGAGTAGAGGCCTGCATGCTCCTTAAACTGGGGATCTTTGGTAGCAGTCCATGTCTGGAGGAGAAGTTGACATCGCCATGTGTTACTGGCCTGGAAACTGAAGGGAGTTTTACAAATGAAAGTTTAGATCTCTATTGACTGCCTTTTGTTTTCGCTTTGAAAAATTTTGCAGATGTAAATGGAACTATAAATACCATGACCTAAGCAAACACCCATTAGAAAATAATTGTACTATAAAATTTCATAAAAATGGATTTGATTTCTTTTTATAAAAGTTTCATATGAATGTAATTTGATTTTTTACTATTGTACTCTAGATAATATAATGTAAGAGGGCTAAGAATTTTTAAATTGAATCATATACATTATATAATTTGATCCTTCTTATATCTTAAAACTTTGTACTTGAGATTTCTGGACTGATAATGAATCATCACATTCCTCTGGTAAATATTTTCTTGGAGCCCTGCATCACCTTTGACCCTCTGTCTCATGGTAAAGTGTGACCTCTTTGCCCACATACCTCAGGGCCAGGGGATTATGTCTCAGTAATGCATTTATCTTTGCATATCAGGTCTTACGATTTCCACCTTTCTGCGACACTTAAATTATGTTCCACCATTGGGGTTTATCTTTTCTGAAGTCCTGTCAGAGAGTACCAAAAAAAGTACGAGTTTTAACTGAACTGGCCTAATGTGTATTGTTTCTGTATCTTGTGTTAGAGGATTTTCGATCTTGTATTAGAGGTTCCTTTCCACCTCAGCATATGAAGATTGTTAGTCTTTCGGCATATTTGCCAACTAGAGCACTGAAGCAGGTCCAAGGATGTGTTTCTCCTCTCATGTTCTGGTCAGTGGTAGGGACTTTGCCTCCTTTATCTCCTCCACAGTGGCAGATACACATGTTGCAAATGGCTGTGTAGTGAAGAGAACTAGAGCTCATGTCGGGCAGAAAGAGTTCAGAAACTCCAGAAGAGGAGTAAGTTCTGGACAGAAGTGTTTGAGGACGGCTGATCCAAAGTGTTATGTGTTCTTTAACTGAGCCACAGGGAGGAGGCTCTTCGTAGCCTATCTTGTCTGGTGATTTTTATTTTAAGTGAAACTTTGGATCTCTCTTTAACTTTCTTTTTTGAGTCTAACTTCTACAGTAGACCAATAAACTTACAGTACTTACTTTTCCCTAGGAGTCTACTCAATAAGGAAACCAAAACAGGATAATAAAAAAAAATTTTAATTAAAAATCCAAACTCTGAATGTACTCTGATAGGTCTTTCCAGTTGTTTTCCACTGTGTATCTGAGGTATGACTTTGCTGGTGAGGTACAAAATTAGACAAATGGACTGTGTGCTAAATAAAAACATATATACATATATTTATTATGCTGCATAATAAAATTACAGACAGTGGGAAAAAATAAGAGCTCAGACAACACAGAGAAAATTCTAAGATTATTATTGCCAAGCACATGCATTAAACATGCACATGAAATCTTACCCTCCCCCTGAGACAATTGCGTGGCCCTTCTCTCCACCAAAGTAGTTTTTTTTTTTTAACTTGTGGTACTTTTCTCGTATCTTTTGTTTTTCCCCCAGACTGTTCTGTTTTCCAGTTTCAGACAAAAACTCTCTTCAGCTTTTTCTATTGCCTTTCTGTGTGTCTCCTTAACAATAACTTTATCACTTTAAATCTTACTTCACATGGAAAAATAATACTTAGTGTGAAAAAGGCTGCACACAATAAAGTTGCATTATTATCCATGACCGTGAGCTCACATTTCTTTCATACTTTAATGTTAAAACTGAAATGCATAAGAAAACAAAAGCTCTATGATGTTCTTTTTATTTAAAGTCCACATCTGGGGCGCCTGGGTGGCTCAGTCATTAAGTGTCTGCCTTCGGCTCAGGTCATGATCCCGGGGTCCTGGGATCAAGCCCTGCGTCGGGCTCCCTGCTCCTCGGGAAGCCTGCTTCTCCCTCTCCCAGTCCCCCTGCTTGTGTTCCCTCTCTCGCTGTGTCTCTCTCTGTCAAATAAATAAATAAAATCTTTAAACAAATAAATAAATGAAGTCCACATCTGGTATTTAAAATCTTCCAAAGCATAGCAGTAAATTCAAATACTTATTCTTTAGCGTAATTCAAAACTAAGGACTTATTTTTTAGTCTTTTTGAATATAGCCATTCATCTATTTTTTCTTTTTCTTTTTTTTTTTTTTTCAGATCAGAGCACAGAGTGTTGGTAAGGCATTCTGAATGGTGGATAAACTATAAAAATTGTCATTGGCCAACTTCCACTTGAGATTTGTGAACTGAGCAATGTATAATAAAGTCTCTCTCTTGATTATTGATCCAGGAGATTTAGGTATGTTTTGGGTAACTACAGAGAAGAGAAAGAAAAGGCATGATGTTATGCCACCTAACATAGACTTTTTCCCTTTAGTAGGAATGCAGCATGTTACCTAGATGAATTAACTAAAAATTATCTTGAAGAATTATCACCTGAGCTATTTACATGAAAATCTTGCTTTTCTAAAGCTAATAGGATGACAGGTAAGTATCTGTAGCTGTAGAATTGACAAACTGCATTGTGTAAGAAGGCAAAATAGAGAAAATATTTTTTAAAAATTTTTTTAATTGATATGATTTTGTACTTGTACTTTCCTTAACTAGTAGGGAATGACTTAACTTTCTACTTTCTCATTTTGCCTTTAGCCTTTGTATATGAATTAATGTGTATAACAATCCTGCCTCCTCAGTGGATCATCTGGTTTGTTTATGACCATTTTTCATTTTTTCCTTTGCCATCATGCACAAGAAGATTTTTTCATGCTCTGAGGGAGTTGAATTAAAATTGGGTTTAGCCATGGTTAACTGAGCCCCTAAAAGTGTTAAAAGAGAAACCCTATTTCATCTGAATAGATGCAATGACCAAGACTTCTTTCTTCTCTCAACACAACATTATTACAGTTATGTGTCTCCCATCTGAAATTGGCTAGCCCCTCAAAATCAAATATGCCTTCTCTTAGGAATGTTTGGTGAGAATAAAAGCAAAAAGAAACAACAACAACAAAAAAAAACCCCATGCTTTCTGTTTCTTTGAAAAACAGTCAATGTCCAGAGTTTACTTTTTCATTTGTCATTCATGGAGAAATTTACATGGGAAACACATCCACCTAAGTACCAGCTGTATCAAAGGCAAAGGGTAAAGTTATAAAATCTAAATACTAGATCAATGTAGCCTTTTCTGACACACCCACAATAAGACTTAAGATTTTGTCTGAAAAAAATCTTGACAGTTGGGGTAATGAACAGAACCTCTCTCATATCCCTCTCCAGTGAATGATTCTTGAGTTTTTATTTGGCTGAATTTACCTCATAGTTGCCTTTCTTAATAAAATATAGATCCAGTGCATCTGGTCCACTGTGTATGTTCAAGAAAAGGGAAATGGTGAATATGACCCAGGCTCTCTTGTTTCTGCTCACATGACCTGGCACCCATTCTGGCTGCTTATTTCATAGACCTTGGAGGCTCACCTAAAATTTTACTGCAATGATAAAATGTCCCTAGCGTTTGTTGTCAGAGAAACTGTTTGGCTTAGGCTGGTTTAAAGGTACCAGATTCGTTGAATCCAACAAGATACTTGACATCTCTTTTGAAATCTTTGTGGCTAAGATGGATAATCAGCCAGGTGGATTCCTAGCTATTGAAACAACCTAAGAGAGTTGAATAATGGTTCACATTAAACTGAAGGAAATTTCCAACCCTTTGAATGAAGACACAAGAAATTCCATAAAGGGTATTATCAAATTTACAGATAACAGATCTGCAGTGGTTAAATAGGATCTTATTAAGATTTAAAATCATTTCAGTGCTGAGGCAAATTTAAGATGAAATTGGACACACTCCATTGCCAGGGTGAACGGAAGGGAAACTTGAGTTGACAGTGGTACTCAGGAAAAAAAGACATCGACAGTTTTTTTACCAAATTCCAAATTTATTTGGCCACAGTACAGCACACCTAGGAGGGGAGCAGGAGGTAAGAATGAAAGCCTGTAAGAGTGTGTTGATGGAGGTTGTGTCCAGATCAAAAGAATTCCTCTGGACTCAGATGTGCTAAGATCAGTTACAGCTAGAATATCGTGTTCTGTTCTAGGTGTCACATTTTAAGCAGATTTTGGCCAAGTATTACAGTGTGTGAAAGAATAGGAACAGGAAGGTGATGACTGTGAAAATATTTCTCAAGAGGAATACATTGAAGAAAGGGAAGTGCAGCCTGGAGATGAATTCAGAAATACAAATGATAGCTGTGTTCCAACATTTAAGGGTATGGGAGAGAAGATAGGATTATTCGCATTGCTCCAGAAGCCAAAGCTTAGAGAAATGGTTGGAAAATATAAGATTTTAGTTCAATATGAGGAAGTGGTTTCTAATAATTATTGGTGACTGCAAATTCATCCTGCTGCTGTTAATGAGGATTCAAACAAAGCCTGTGGCTTCCCAGAGTATTATGGAGGGCATTCCTCCTTTGAGTAGACATTCATTACACATCAGCTTTGAGGTCTCCCCAAAGTTTAAGATGCAACAAACAGATAATCATTAGAAAGACCTCACTCAGGTGAAAGAAACGTTTACATGCTTGGTCTTAGAAATGGCATGTAGATGGTTGTAGCTGCTCATACCACAAAGATCGAGTTTAAGCACTTATAGTTCAAGTGTTGCCTTACTCCTCATCTGTAATTAGTCAGTGCTTATCCAGAGGTTATTATCAAACTCCTTGTGGATAATCTGGGAACAAGATGGGAGGCTAATAGTTGTATATGACCGTAATAAAACCAAAGGTTCTTGCAATTGCATTTTCTTCCTTTACAGAATTTATAGTTGCTCTCTGCTCATTCCACCCATCATTACCTTCATCACACATACACAGAGGCAAAAATCTAACTCAGGTACCCAGTTCATTATGCGCATGCTCTACCATAGTAGGATTTGAGTCATTGTTTCTAGCCCCTGTCCTCCACAGTCCTTGACTCAGTGAATAGTCCCTAAAAGTTTGTTAAATAAACATACCTTCTTGGGCCACCTTGGTGTCTCAGTCAGTTGAGCGTCCCACTCTTTCTTTTTTTTTTTTTAAGATTTTATTTATTTGATAGAGACACAGTGAGAGAAGGAACACAAGCAGGGGGAGTGAGAGAGGGAGAAGCAGGCTTCCCGCCGAGCAGGGAGCCCGATGCGGGGCTTGATCCCAGGACTCCGGGATCATGACCTGAGCTGAAGGCAGACACTTAACGACTGAGCCACCCAGGCGCCCCTGAGCGTCCCACTCTTGATTTTGGTTCAGGTCACGATCTCAGGGTCCTGGGACGAGCCCCACATCGGGCTCCACACTCAGCAGGGAGTCTGCTTGAGGATTCTCTCCCTCTCCCGCTCCTCCCCCCACTCATGCACTCTCTCTAGAGAATAAGTAAATCTTTAAAAAAAAATACCTTCTTTAAAACTATTTTTTGCTGTAAGGCTGCTTTTTGCTATAATAACTGCACAGTATCTATAGGTGAATCTAAAACTACATAGATAAAAAATTTTTTACACCTTCCATATGAAGAGACCCTTTTCCTTAGAGACTGAAAGAGTTTCTCTATGAAGTTTAGATGAAAGAAACATGCTTTTTGTGAAAGAAAAATTGGGGAATAGGAAATATTTCTAAAGATTCTTCCATTTCTCTCTGTGATCATGTACTCTAAACCTAGGAATTTCTTAATCTAGAATCTCTGGTTCCCTAGAAGATCTACGAAGAGAGAAAGCAGACCTCCATGATTGCCCAGAAATTCTATTGAAATTTTTGTGTACGTGGATATGTGTATTTTTCTGGGAAAAGGATCCCTAGCATTAATCAGAAAAATTTAAGGACAATCTTAAACAATTTGCTTTCAAACTTATTTTTTAATTCATTTTGAAGACTATCAAGTGCCATTAGGTATCAGGCACTGTGCTTGGCTACTGAGGAACCAAAAAAATGACAAAAAATCCTGAGCTCAAGTTGCTTAACTGTAGTGGGGAAGACAAATATGTTTATTTATTTATTTATTTTAAGATTTTATTTATTTGACAGAGAGAGACACGGAGAGAGGGAACACAAGCAGGGGGTGTGGGAGAGGGAGAAGCAGGCTCCCAGCTGAGCAGGGAGCCCCATGGGGGCTCGATCCCAGGACCCTGGGATCACAACCTGAGCCAAAGGCAGACGCTTAACCGACTGAGCCACCCAGGCACCCCAAGACAAATAAGTTTAAAATACATTGAGAAAAATTATAGAAGAAAGGTATGTATAAAAAGCCTTTCTATTGTTTTTCTTGACACTGGTTGACTCCATTGTATAATTTGACTTTTGTGTCACCAAATTTTATGATTTTCATGCCACCTGCCACCACAGACTTATTTCTAACAAAATGGTTGATTTTATCTTTTCAGCCTGTCAACAATGGAACTAAATGGTGCTCTTCCGTCTCTGTTACATCCAGGAGTTTCTTAGGCCCTGTGATTACGGCATTTACAAATAAGAGAGGAAAATACTCACTTTAACCCTATCTGTGTGCTGTGATCAAATGGTTATAAACCAGGGCATCTGGGTGGCCCAGTTGGTTAAGCATCTGACTCTTGATCTCAACTCAAGTCTTGATCTCAGGGTTGTTGAGTCCAAGCCCCACATTGGGCTCCATGCTGGGCATGGAGCCTACTTAAAAATTAAAAAAAAAAAAAAAAAAGGTTATAA